CTGATATTTAGTATGAGAACCTGATTGAGCTCTTGGAGGCAAATCTCAGGATATTATAGACCACCCACTCCTGCCTTATGACTGTATTGTCCTGAAGTTCTTTTTTTTTTTTTTCCTTTTTAAGATTATTTATTTACTTATTTGACAGAGATAGAAATCACAAGCAGGCTGAAGTAGGCAGAGAAGCAGGCAGATGGAGAGGGAGAAGCAGGCTCCCCACAGAGCAGAGAGCCCGATGTGGGGCTCGATCTCAGGACCCTGGGATCGTGACCTGAGCTGAAGGCAGAGGCTTAACCCACTGAGCCACCCAGGTGCCCCCTGTCCTGAAGTTCTTAACAGAGTTGTCTGCACTGAGCCTCCAGCAATCCCTCCGTTACCATTCCAGTTTTCCTGCTCATGCTCCAGATGCTCCAGAAGCCACATTCCCCATATTGACTTAGTGGTCTCCCCCAGTCCTGGGGGCATTTTCTGTCTTTCCCTCCCTTCTGCATCCAAAAAAGAGTTGGTTTTTCAGTCTGTTCGCTTGTTACTTGTTAGGCCAGAGCAGTGTCTTCCAAGCTCCTTACACGGGGAACTGGAAACAGGAAGTTAGTATATTGAAACTCAAACCTGCTATTTCAGCTTCTTACCACAAAGTGTCCTGAAACATTTATATTGTATTATCTACAAGTAGAGAATGAGCACAGAAAGCACTGGATTCTTTTGGGTTAAACTGGTGGATATTGTTACGATTTAATCGATTATGTAACCTCACCTTCAAAATTCAGATTTTCATTGCATGCTCTTTCAGATCTAACTCCTTGTATCCATTTGATAAAAATTGAAATGATTCCATTGTCTGGAAACCTGAACTGTTAAAAATGCTCCACTGGGGCCTTTAGTTTTGTTTGGTTTTGTCTGAAAAGGAGTTTAAACTTGGGTCTTAAAGGGGTCATCAGTGTTTTCTGTTCTTGGAGTGTGAAACATAAAAGCAGTTTAGGAAACACCTCTGGGATGGAAATTCTCCAGAATCTCAAAGTTTGACCAGATTTTCAGACTGCCTCATCTTCTAGACCCAGGTACACCCCACACAGACTCATCCCTGAGGCCTGTACCCCAGGGGGTACAGGGAAAGGGACTCGAAGACCCTCGTCTAGCTCCGAGGGAGATGTTTGTCATACTTACTGTACTTGGCCACCCTCGTTTCAAGTTCATCACACACCTTGTTCAACATGTTTACTTTTTAAACACTCAGAGAATTAACAGGTGGTTGCATGACTGAGATGTTTGTTTTAACAGGCTAAAAAGTGGGAGGTAGTTTATATAGACACACACTATGATGCAATAGGAAAGTATCTAATTATTCCATTTTTGGCTCGGCTTTTAGCTTCAGTTAAAACTGCTGATAGCAAGGCTCAACAAGTTTTGTAGCCCAGGACTCTTAGCAGTGTCTGCCTATGAGAGACCGGCTCACTGGCGGTAATGGCCATTCCCTTATACATGAAAGCTTTTCCTTGGCTTTGGCACTAGAGTTTAGGAAAGAATCTCAGCATTTCTGTCACGCGTGGTTCACAGTGTGAATGCAGAAGGCTCTGAAAGTCCCGTATCTATGTCCACATGCTCTGCAAACCAACTCATAATGTTCTCTGTCTGAACATCGAATGCCCAAAAGTAAAATCCTGGTAGCAAGACAGCTAACGGATCTCTGGCCTGGTAGGTTCATTCTGATGCATTCGGGTATAGGTTCTGATCGGTTCTTGCACTGTCTTCATGCAGTGGAAGGAGAGAGGACTTTTGCTGGATGGTGGTTCATTTGGTTTGGGGTCAGGGGACTATTGCCAGAAGTAGACATGGACCAAGATAGCGATTTGAGATCTGGGATGGCTAACTCTTTCTGTAAAGGGCCAGAGAGTAAATACTTTAGAATTAACGGGCCATAGGATCTGTGTGGGAACCCCTCGACTCTGCTGTTCGAGCACAGAAGCGGTCATAGATACACAGAAACAAATGCATGTGGCTGGTGGCTGTGTCTCAGTAAAATGTTACTTACAAAAACAGGCGGAGGGCTAGATTGGCCCATGGACCACCCGTTGTCAAGCCCTATTCTGGATCCCTGAACATATACCACTGAGCTGTATGATTCTGACCTCCCAGGAAAAACAGTTGTAGTTTCCAGTTAACCGAACTAACACATAGAACCTTCAGGATTCCCAGCCAAGACTTCCCCATATTTGTATATATTAAAATTGTTGTCAGAAAGAAGAGCATTTTTTTTCCCTTGCTGGCTTCTTTTGGGTGCTAATCCGAATTGTGTTATTTACTTGTCATTTATACCCCACTTCCTCCCAAAATAATTTGAGGTAGCTTACAGTAAAAAGCATGTATAGGTTTTAGCTGTCAAAACAGAGATATAAAACCACAACCACATGAAAATGTCACACCAAACAACCTCTGAATATTCCGTTTCCACCCGCCAACTCAAGCAGATAGCTCAGCCTTTTTGGGACAAACCAGTCTCTCGGACACCTCCTGAACTGAACACTGATATGTTCTGTGTTTTATCTTTCCTAGCATAATTTCCTTCCTGAAAAAATTTTCACCCCATTTTTTTTTAAAGATTTTATTTATTTATTTAACAGAGATCACAAGTAGGCAGAGAAGCAGGCAGAGAGAGAGGAGGAAGCAGGCTCCCCGCTGAGTGGAGAGCCCCATGCGGGGCTCGATCCCATGACCCTGGAATCATGACCTGAGCTGAAAGCAGAGGCTTTAACCCACTGAGCCACCCAGGCGCCCCCACCCCATGTTTTATAGTGAGTCTTCTACCAAAGGAAATGTTCGTATCCGTCATTTTTCTTCTGATTGAAGTATAACCCAAGAACTCTTATACAGCTAAGGGGGTACATGGAAAGAAAAGAGAAAATCACAAGCTAAGGAAAACTTTGGTGAGCCGGTGACTAGTTCAGAACAGATTTGGGGGCCCCTGGAGAGTCAGGGGACTGTTCCTAGTCAGTCACAGGGCTCAGCCCTGCCCTTGAAGGGAAAAGAAGCCGTACGTTGCTTCAGCGTCAGGATGGTCAGAAGCCCACTTCGGAGGTGGACAGGGGAGGTGAGGGTTTGGGATGGCTGCAGTGGGGGGTGATGTTTAGTGGGTGACGTGGAAACAAAGCCAAGGGACTTGCAGCCCTGCCAGCTGGAATCATTCTGAAATAGGAAAACTGGTCTATGGGGCAACAGGGTGTACAGATGACTCTGATCTCAAATCCGAGCTAATGCGGGATTCAACTGCTTAGCTGAGTGGCTGCCAGAGGTCATGGAGAGCCCAAGGCTGGAGGGTCTGCTAGGATCCCTGGCACTGGGGAGGTGAGACAGATGTGCTCAGGCAGACACTGGAGTTTAAAAGGAGGAAATGCAGAAAGACTTCCCTAGGAAACCTGAATACCAGGCAAGGATCCATTCACAAGTGAAGACAGAAGCCGCTCGGCTACCTGGCAGTTGGATTAGCAACAGCAGAGTGGAGCGAGAAGCAAGATGGGGTTGGTAGTAAGGACAGGAGACCACGCTCGCACCAGCATTGCAGGATACAGTCGTGGGCTAACTCGACGACGTAGAAAAAATCAGTTCTGTAATTGGCACCTGGGAAGATGTTCGATCTCTGTTTTAAAGAGGTTTCATCTGCTCAGTGAATTGAGAAACATCCTAACCTCTACATGGAAAAGAGAAATGAAGAATTTCCAACTTATGCGGCAGTCCCTTCTCTCGTTCACTCTTGCTGGGAAGGCACATCGGGGTAGGGTTTGGAGGGAGGAGGCCGTTCGCCATTATCCATCAAGGTGATCAGCGTGCCGGGCTATCTGACTCTGCGTCTGCACCGGTACAATGTGTTGTTTCTGAGAAAAGTGCACACTGTCACACTGGCAAAGATGTTTGTGCCAAGATGATCATTTTATGAAAAAGTGGAAGTGAAATGCTGAAAAAAATTTCAGATTGCAGTTTTTGGATTTCAGTACCCCGTGTAAGGGATTGCGGATCTGGTTATACAGGTTTTTAAGTTTGGCAAGAACCAGTTGTGAAGTTGGAAAAAGTCAGTTTTGGGACAGTGTATACAGAACGGTCCCCTTTCTTTGAAAGTAATAATTGTATGTGAAAATACATGCACGGAAGATCTAGAACCACACGCAGGATTTCCCGTGGTGGTTCTGATGAGTGGACAGGTCTCAGTATGAGAAAACAAGCTGCTTCTTCCTGTCGACCAGAAGAGAACCCCACCGCCCCCCTCCCCCTGTCACAGACACTGGGGAGCAGGAGGTAGAGACGGTCCTCAGGTAGTGCGTTCAGCTGGAAAAAACCATCTCATTAGCAGGAAAAGAGGCTTCTCTTTTCATCACCAACTATGAGGCTTATGTCATCATTATAGATATGCCCGTCTAAGTCAGGTGAATTCGTTTATTCCTTAAGCTAATAGCTTCGAGTGCTGCGTGTGAGACACCACACAAGGCACTTGTGAGACACCACACAAGGCACTTGGGCTACACGGCAGGACAGAACAAAGGCAGTCTCAGGCAGAGGCCTGAGCTGTGACTAGGAAGCCAGGGGAAGGTGTCCTGTTTCACTGGACGCACATCGGCGTCCAGGTCCGGGTAACAGCAGTTGGCATTACAGTGAAATCCAAGCGTCTCAGTTTTTCTCTTCGGTGTAGTCTCTTCTGTTTAATCTCATGTGTTTGAAAATAGAGTTTCTGATGATGATTACTGTTTCAACTCTGAAGCCACCAGGGAAAGGTCTCCTCGCTGGTCTGTGACAATGACCCACAAAGCCATCAAGTGGCTATGATTTCTGATTGCAACCCCGTATCCCGGATTGGCACTGTGGTCCCTCACTCTGCACAAGGAAGAACCTCTTAAACAATGTCTTCGTGCAGGTGGATAGGTAGACAGAGAGATACATAGACAGACATCTAGATACTTTTGCACATGTATATTTTCGTCACCTGTCAACTCACATGTTTGTGTTTTCTTCCACAGAAAAAACAAAGAACGAAAGACCTTTCCCGGGTGTTCCATTCTTACAGTCCGTACGATCACAAGGTAAGAGAAACATGTTATTCGTGTGTTGGATTCAAGTCTTTCTGAACATAGAGCACAGTTCCCGCCAGCGGATAGTGATTTTGAAGTATGCTTTCCAATTACATTTGTGTTTCCATTTTAATTTGTCAGCAGTTTATCTCTGCTAAAGAAGTCAAAAAATCTTCATTTCTGAACTAAAATAATTATATCTTATTCACATTAAAATCCAGTTACACGTTGTTCCTGAAATCTCAAAGATGAGGCAAAGACAGATTTGGGGGTGTTATTTACTTGGTTGGTTTTTTCTTTCCAAATGCTGAAGAAATGAACTTAACTTTTGAATTGGTAAAGACAGTTGACATAGGCCTTACCAACGCTTTGGCTTTCCATTGCTCCTAACAGAGTTATTTTCTCTGGATAAAATCCCAAAGAAAGAGCAGTATATAACGTAATACCTGAAATGCCTGCTTCCCGAAGTTTTGCCCCACAGAAGACCAGATAGTGCCGAGACTCCCACATATTTGTCCCCCAACTTGAAGGACCTATGGCCCATGTTGCTCCAATTGTACCCCACGCTCTTCACTCCCTGTATTTGAAGAATTCCCAGACAACTTTTTACTTGGAAGCATTTCACCATCTATTTGCATAAGAGCTCTTTAAAAACACACACGCACGCACACCTGACTGTCTTTAAAGAAAACTCTCACCACCACATCATCGTGGGGAAATATATTACAGGGTTCCCAAGGCTCCCGCACCACTTCTGCATCATGTAAAGGTTCCAGGAAATCTGTTAATTCGAGGTGATTTCAGAAGCGAACAAAAAATTTGCACACTTGAAATGCTAATATAAACTTCAGTCTTGATCTGTGAATTTACAAGGAGACATGTGGTGGGGATTTTTTAACTAGCCAAAATAAGTAGTGTGAAAACTATTTTCCTCAGTTGGGAATTACGGAGATGTCTGGATTCAGGAGGAAAAGACTGTGCCAGTTGTTCATAAAAGTTGAAAGATTTTCAGTAGCTTCTAGTGTTTCTGTAGTGACCAATTGACTTTAAGCACCAATAATTTGTGAAAGCTTGTGTTTATCCTTCGTGTGACCATGACAATCTACAGTACTAAAAATGATATCATTTCATGTTGCGTTTTTCAAGTTAAATCAGTCCCTTTGCAGAATATGGCAATTTGTTTGAAAGAGATCAGGAGAGCCAGTAATGCCTGACGGTAGAGAGAGAAGGTGCCGGCAGATAAGGAACATGCCAGCAAAGGGAAGGAGGCTGGCCGGATTCCTGATAGGAGAGTTGTAGTGTTTTAGATGAAGCCATTTAATTTAATTAACAGATATGCAGCAATGGCTAAAGTCAACATTCAGGAACAACAAAAGGCTTTGACAAATCAAAGGTCTTGCCCGACGTGTGTAAATTTTGCCCACTTCTAACATTTTTTGATTCACAGTTAAGGGAAATTCCATTATTCTTTTATTAGAACTCTTAATGGAACTTAGCCATTTGCAGCTTCTACCGGCTTCCTCTTCATATCCTTTGTGGCATTGTATCAAAGTCACCTCAGATTATTTTGGCTTCCCTTGTGAAGACTTCATTCCTCTACCAATTAGTCATTGGGCAGTGAGGAGTTGAGTATAAGTGCTAGACGGAGTTCCTTTTGATCTTTGCTTCAGGATCGGTAATAAATTATTGTAAAGAGCTGGACTGCTTGGTGAGTGATTTTTGAAGTTCCAAAGGTTTGGCCTGTTGGCATTCTACTTCATTCTGCATGTGTAGGGACGGAAAAGGGGAAAGTTTCCAGGCAGCTCCTGCCCCTTTCTCCAGCGCTCCATCCAGACACGTCTCACTGGGTCACTGTCAACCTTTCCTGCTGTTGGTCAGTGTCCACAGCGACTAGGACCACAGGGGCTGAGGAACAGACACTGCTCTCTCGGTCTTAGAATCGTCCCCCGCCCCCATAAATAAAATACAACAAGGAGGTCATGATTCAAGTTACTTTGTCATTTTAAGTACCCAATTATATTCAACAAATTAGCTTTCTAAGCAGATAGGTTTTAACATAGAATGTTTTGTAAGATGTGGTTAGAGTTGGCTTAAGCATCTCGTGCTCGGTGAGATCTCTGTAGTGATCTTCGAATTAAATATATACATGTTATAAATGAAAGCTTATATAAAATAAAATATAGGCTGTCTGTGACGTGCTTTTAAAAAAAGAATGTGGGGCGCCTGGGTGGCTCAGTGGGTTAAAGCCTCTGCCTTCGGCTCAGGTCATGATCTCAGGGTCCTAGGATAGAGCCCCGCATCGGGCTTTCTGCTCAGCAGGGAGCCTGACTCCTCCTCTCTCTTTGCCTGCCTCTCTGCCTACTTGTGATCTCTGTCCGTCAAATAAATAATTAAAATCTTTAAAAAAAAAAAAAAAGAATGCAAGGCAGAAAGTGGGTAGGATACAGTAAAATCAGACTGGCCGTGTGTCGATGATGAATGAAACTGAATGATGAGTTTATGGGGGTTCATCATGCTATTCTGAATATTTTCTTTTCTTTCTTTCTTTTTTTTTTTTTTTGTTAACATGGATGGAAATTTTCCTGGGAGTGAACGTTGTGGTATTTGTTTCCTCTCTAGCTAGATTCTTTTTATCGTTAATTTTCCCCTTGACGTAAAGTTATACCAAAGAAGGAACACTCAGCATTTCAGTGGGTTCCTTATGCTGAGTCAACTCAGAAATGCAGCTTCTGTTCTAAAGTTGGCATCATTTCCCAGGGTTTCATCCCAAATTATAGTGGGTCACTGAAATGATAGCCCGGCCTGCTAGAAACTGTTAAAACAGTGGTAATTACAAAGGATAGTCCAGCCGTTCTCTTCCCGGTGCGTCAGCTGTGTTTGCTCTTTTCTCCTCCCCAACTCCCCCAGCCCAGCCAAGATTGGTCCTGCCTGACCCCAGGCACAGGAGAGTCACCGGGTTAAACACACCAGTGGTGTTTGACTGAGGCCAGGTGTGTTTCTTGATCGTCCTTTGAAGCCACTGTTTACGTTGTAAATGGTCAGTTGGGTTTCTCTTAAATGCTGTTGCAGAAAGCAAATAAAGCGTAGAGCAAAATGTGCGCTCCAAATGAGTCTTAAGGAAATTACCTGATTTATTTTTTATACTCTAAGACAAATTTGGCTGGAGATGGGAAGAATTTCATTTTGCAGTGTTCTCTCTGGTTCCACGACCATTTAAAAAAAACAAAACAAAAAACTGTTTCCAGTTCTTGTAATACAGACTTACAGAGAATGGCTTGATGAAAAGCCAATTCCCATTTTTCTGTCCTCGTAAAAAGGAACATTGGTAAAGAGAATCCAAAGCAGCAGGTAATTCGGTTTTATTTTGTGCTCTGTATGCTGTCCTCTGTTATTTTAATAAACACATAATAAACATAGCTTGTAATTTCTGAAAACACATCATCCTAACTACGAGGAAAAGTTACAGGTCCAGAACCCTTCCATGTATCTGGAGTTGAATATTTTCTTTGGATAAGTTACGGGTAAGCAGAGTAGGGCTATAATTAGAACAGTTTTTATTAAAACTCTGCTTATTAGCATGTGCTTTCTGTCTTTGGTCCGAAAGAAGTATTGCCATGCATATAAAAGATGTCTCTCTCTCTCTCCCTCTTTATTTCCTTCCTTACCCCCCTTTTTTCTTTCTTGTTAGGTTTTTATCAGAGTTATGTGTTCGGGGGGATATCTCAGTTTATTAGCTAAACACAGATGTTTATCATCTGCTAACGTTAAAAAGCTATTATAAAATATGAAAATTGGAAGAAAAAGTACACAATTCTGTTTCAGTCTGTGGTGGTTTTTAATATCTGGAGAGTTTAGTCTCTAAACACAGTTATGCTCTGTAACTTTATATATATTCCACCATTAAAAGAGAGTCTTAAACGGGTTACTGTTACAGTTTCTATATTTTATAAACTGAACATCTCATGTTCTTGGAATGACTTATTATTTCAGAATTTTCTATATTCATGGACATAAATACATAAACACATGTGAGAGAAGAAACATTACTGTAAAGCCATGTTGGTGGAATTGGCTTTTCCTTTTTGGCTTTTTTGGGGGGGTTTTTTGGGGACTAGTGTTATTTTGAGAATTTTTCTACCAACACAGACATACATCAGCTGAGCTGTACACAAATTCCTATGTGCCCCCACAAGCAGCTGTGTATGAGTTACTGTACAAGCAGATGGGAGACCGACATCAGTGCTTTACACAGCCAGGGGCCTTCTGGGCGGGAGTCTCCACGCCTGAAACCCAGCTCAAAGCCTGCCCGCCCGCCAGCCAGGACCCAGCCTGTCCACCTCCCTGTTTAATTCTCTTCCCCCACCTCGTTACCTCTTCAAGTCCCCCATCCACGAGCAGTCCATTTTTAAAAAGAATACTTCTAACAGGCGTACATGTCTGGCTTCCCCCAAAATAATCCAGCCCAGCAGCAGCTACAAAGAGGGTGGCTATGGCTTCCAGAAGCTAGAGCTCCATTAAAAACTGGCAGCAGGCTAAAAGGAGGGCAAGGCCAAGGCCATAAAGACGCTAAGTCATCAACAAAGGAACTCAGAAGTGCCGCTACCCAGGACCACTTAATTTGGACCCAAATACCCAAAGATCCCTACCCATTTTCGGAGTCCCAGAGTAAAATAATTGGCCCTGAATTACATGAAGAGGCAGATGTTTGAGGATAGTAGAGACGTATATGGTCTATTTTTGGAAATACTGCTATTTTAAGGATAGGTATTATTTATCTTGGAAACTTAGGAATAGCTGTTTTTTTAAAGGTTGGATGAATGAAGTATTACTGTAGAACGTGGTTTAATAACAGAGAAATAGTAAGAGGGGTTGAACATAGCTGGGTAAAGGACGAAATACTGTGTGCAGGCAGAAAAAATGAGCAGAGAATCCATATTCCCCCAAATTACTTTTTTATATCATTAGATACTGTAAAAACCTCAAAGTACACAACATTTTTATCTTAAAGAGTA